GAACACTTCTGGGTGCTGGTGACAAATCACACGCTGAGGGCGCCAGGGAGGACTCTGGGCCCAGTGAAGCGGGTACAGGACGGGTGGGGCAGCAGGGTGGGGAGAGGGTGAGAAAAAGGCAGAGGGTGCCAAATGCAACTCTGGGGACCACAGGTTTTTGTTTTGTTTTGGATTCAGGACAATGGTTCCTTGTCATTGTGGGATTTTAAAACCCTAAGACTCAGAATGAGGGCCGGGAGGGATTTGTGGAGTCACAAGGAACACGGCCAAAGCGGATTTATTCATCTGATGCGCTGCATTGCTAGCGAAGTCAGGCCGGGAGCAAGCCGGTACTTTACCGTGTTTCCTTAAACCCTGGTTTTATTTTCACTTAAAACCGCTGAGAAATAGGAACATTTACAAAGCTTCTATTATGCACCAAGCCCCGTGAGGGTGTTAATGGATTCGCTTGCCTTTTGCAAGTTCTCACCCCTCCTGCCATCTTAATAGGTGCCAAGCCCTCCTGGAGCCCTGACAGCCCATCCGGCATGACCATGGCCAAGGTAATCTCCCGCGGCAGCTTCCGGATGGCCTGTGGTGGGGGTTCTCTTCCGGCCCCCCTGCACTCAGCGTGGTCGCTGAGGTTTCCTCCCGGGCAATTCTGCCCGTGGCAGCGCTCAGGGCGCATGACTGGTGCGACCAGAGGGGGTCCGGCTCCGAGCACTGGGGGTTTTCCTCCAGCCCTGACGCCCCCAGAATACGATGATAATTTAACAAGCAGTTAAGTGCCTGCCATTTGCCAGGTGCAGGGGACGTAACAGTGAACAAGACGAGCCGGGTGGGACTCAGGAAGCCTCCATTCTAGGACAGGGCGGGTCAGGTACCACCCGACAGAAGCCTTCTCTCCGGGGCACGGCTTTGGCAGGCAGTCTGGGCGGGGCACCGGGCTCGGCCGCTCGCGGCTCTCGGCTGGTGCTGGGACCTGGGCCAGCGGCTCTCCCGTATGCACGCGGCTTTGACCACACTGTCCACTTGTTTCCGCGATGAGAGCGGAGTAATGCTCGGGCTCCAGGCCAGCGGTTCCCAAGTTGTCTGCACTTCACGCAACTTCCAAAGCTGTATCTCGCTTCCAGATCCACTGGCCCGGGCAGTGGCCTCGGCTTCGGCATCAAAGACCCCCAGGCGCTGGCCCTGGGCTCATGGGCTCAATGAAGGGCAACCGCCCGAAAAGCCCGTTTTACAGATGGAGAGACTAAGGCCGGGCGGGGAGGGGCCCACAGCGACGTTCCGAGGCCTCGGGGTTCGCCCACACGGGCCTCC